CATTAAAATAACTTAGGATATTTATTTCATTTTACAGTTTTTGGAAAAAGATGCTACACGCATTCATTTCTGAGCATAGATACAATATACTGACATCAAACTAGTTTTTGCCGAATAATCTTTTCATGAACAGAACAAATCAATAACCTGGATCTATTTCTAAGTTATGAGATGAATATTTAAACACCGCTATGTATTTCTGGTCATATCATTTTCAAAGACAGGGGTTCCAACCAACTTAAATATTCCTTTCCAGATGTCTGGAGGTTGTGGATCCACCCTCACCAACTTGTGTTATAATCAGTGCTTCTTAAATTGTCCCAAAGAACAACCATTGCATTGTACAGGTTAAAAGATAACCCGATTCATTTTCCTTTCTTCTCTCCTCTTCGGCATTTGCATCCACTGATAGTTCTACCGTCTCCCTTGACACAGGGATAAATCCAAAGTCCTGAAACTACTGGAACAGTTAGATTTGTCCCATGGGTTAAAGTCGGAAACTCAAAATGCATGACCCAAACCCTAGGCTGTGTCCAACCCTCAGCCCCTGCAGCTGCTGCTCCCAAACCCAGAGGCTTAGTGTTGCACCTGGAAACCAGAGCCCAAATAGATGTCTTGCGAGGAGTGAGAGCCTAGAGCAGGGATGGTGAACCTTTTAGAGACAAAGAGTGCCTAAACAGCAACCCAAAACCCACTTATTTATCCGAAAGTGCCAACACTGTAACTAAACCTGAATATTAAAGTTTCCATTTAGAAAAAACAACTGTCAGCCGATGCTCGGCTGCTGGGGCTCTTTGGCTTGAGAGCTCATAGAGAGGGCTCCCGTGCCTCCTGCAGCACACGTGCCATAGGTTCGCCACCACTGACCTATAGGAACAATTTTGTAGAATGCTGGCAGTCCCAAGAGATGGTCCCCAGGGCTCCTGCCTCCCATACCGCATTTCTCACCAGAAGTCAAGGAGCATTGCCTGCAGAGCTCCCCTCACTCAACCTGTTGGGAAGCAACTCAAGCTGAGTCCAGAATTATTCTTAACCCTGGGGCAGACCCCTGCCCAGCCCGCTGAGGACACTTCTTCCCCTCCTAATACACTGACTCAAGAGCTCTGTAATAAACATCAGAATTTTTTAGGTTCATTCCTGTGGCCGTTTCCCCGGGACTCCTGTCATGTACCTTCTCTCTCTAAACTCACGTCTGTTCCTGTGTAAAAGTGACTACTTCCTCTCTAGGAGGAACCACGAAGTTTGGTTTGGGCAGGAGGGCTGCCACAGCACTCAGCCCACAGTTGTAATCTAGAACTAGTTTAGCACACAGCACGCTGTTTCTAACTGTGAGACTTGGGGAAATTATTAGCAGATGACAATGGTGATGATGATGATGATAAGTAACATTCAGTGGGTGTTGGTTGGGTACACACAATATTTACTCAGTGAATGGGCCTGGAATCCACAGATAGATACAAGTCTTAACTGTAGCTCATTTCTTCACAACATTTCTGGAACACAAGTTCTATTATCGTCCCCATTTAAAAAGTGATGAAACTGATTATAAGTGTGATGAAGTGACTTATCGAAGGCCATGAAGCCAATAGGTGTCAAATCTTTGGCTCAAGTAAAGAGGCTCAAATATCAGATTCTCTTTGGATTGATAACCCCGAAATGTTCAAACACAACCATGTTTAGCCAATACCCAATAAAAATCTTGTGAGTGATGATTCATTTTGAAAGATGACTGACTTTGCAGATGTTATTCTTTCCTACATTTCTTCCTTTCCTTCTTTCTACTTTCCAATCATGCTTTCTCTATTGCGTCAGGCTTTATATAACTTGCCATATATCAGACACCAGGGTGCATCCCTGGGTAAACAAAGAGAAACAAGGCCCAGGCCTGGCCTAGCAAAACTTAAAGTCTGGAAGTGGAAGGCAGACATGAAAGTGTGTTTCTGTGAGGAGTCTTGATTTTATAAAAAAAAGAGAGAGGGAAGAAGCAATAACAATACCAGTCCTGTTTACCTCACAGGCATAAGATTAAATAAAGTTATAATGTATGTACACAGGACTAAACATTATGACAATGTGAGAGCTTTTGTATATTCCTAACATGGAATTGAAGGCTCCGAGTGATGCTGCCTGACCCACCTTTCCCTCCATCTGCACCCATGTACCTGCTGCCTGGGCTCCAGCCATAATCACACAGTCCTTGCTGTGAATGTGTCCTGATCTACCTGCCTCTCCTCCTGTCTTCACACTCTTTCCAATTCCTAAAATACCTTTCTCTGTCACATCACTGTCTATTGATGTGTTACTTTACTCAAATAGCATCTCCTTTAATCTAAAATAGTGTCCATTTCCTCCTTTGTACTATTAAATGTGTATCTCTCACATCACACTCAGCAGTGAAACTAGAACTGTTCATCTGCCTAGATATGCTTGTTGTATGACTTGTTCCTAAAATGTTTGTGGGAGCAAAGTATACTTTCTCTTCTCTCTGTGCTTCCCTCTTGTCTCCAGCACCTCGAGCCTAGAACGTAGGGAGACTGGGGAGACTCTGGACCAGCAGATCTGATGGACGATCTCTGTGGCTCACGGACTGTTCAGGCTTTCCCTTCAGTTGAGCCAAACACCACAGGGAATGGTACAAAATCAGGAGAATTGAGGCTCGCTCTGTTAGGTGAAATACAAGGGCATAGTATCTCTGAAAGCACAAACTGCTGATTAGTGGCCTTACCCAGAGGAGTTTGTGTGAACTTTTTTCAAATTACATATTCTCACATATATTTAACATAATTTAGTGTATCAAACTTATTATTTCATAAATATTCTTTAAGAAAAGCTTTGGCCTTTGAATAAAAATGAATTGATTTAAAGACAAATACTACATAAAGATAACAGGATGTGGCCAAACTATGCAATGCCAGTGTTCTGAGCTCCAGAAACTGGGTACTATAGTTTGTGTCTACATGTCCCCTCAAAGCCACATGTGATCATAGGTGGGGCATTTCAGAGCTGGCTACATCTGGACTGTGTGATATTGGGATTGATTCATGGTACAATGAAAGGATTAAGGGTGCTAGCATTAAGAGTGTGAGTGCTACCTTCCCCAAGTGTGAGTATCCTGGATAAGACGTAAGGGACAGGAAGGACTAGAGTACTCTCCTCGCTTGATGTCATCTGCCTGCCATGAACTTTTTCTCCTCTGCAATGCCTCTCTGCTGTGCAACCCTGTCTTGGACCCAGCCAACAGTCAACAGAAACCTCTACAAACTCTGAGCTTCAATAAGCTTCTTTAACTTTGGGTATCAGGTGTTTTGTCTCAGCAATGAGAAAAGTTAACAAAGTCACTGGCCAAAGAGAAAATGCTTCCAGTTCTATGGGTCACATCTACTGGTAGCAGCCTCCGTAATTACAAAGCCCTGTTATTATGCTAAAATCTTTGTTTGAAAGGAAGAATGAATGGAGTGTTTTTCTATCACATTGTTTCTCATTAGAATGAGGAAACGTGCTGGTATCTTGGTTAGGGAGAACTCATCAAACCTCACAGCATTGGGTACCAGATTTCCTAATGGCCATGGAGTTTTACACCTTTCCCCAGGACTGGCAGATACAAAGAACCTGGAGATGGAATTGCTTTTCTTTTTTCCTACAAAGCATGACACTTCACAGAAAGAAAAACACTTCAAAGGCAGTTCTTTCTCGCATACATTTCAGGTCTCCATTCAAGATCCACATTTATCTTCCTTATCCAATTACAGGATCAAAGCAGGAGTGTTTGGCCTACTTCAGGGGTTTAAAGACATTTGGGAAAAACTAAGAACATTTAAAACTACCTTCTTTATGCCACATATCGTCCATAGGAGAATTGGAATCCTCTCCCCTTGCTGTCTCTTAACTAGTCTCTGGATGCAAAAATTCAGGTCAGAAAGTTAACATGCTCTAATCATCCAAGCATAAAAGATTCAGTTACATCTCTGTAAATCCAATCTAATCTCAGTATGTCTGGTGTGCTTTTTGAACTCCACGCCACTACAAAGTCCTTTCCAGAATCCACTGCCAAATTCTTGATTTTTCCTGATTAGTTTTAAAGACCCCATGTTAAAATAAAACTGTCAAAAAAAAATCTAAAATGCTACTTCATGAGTCTCCCAAAAACTACTGACCCTAGTGCATCTGCTCATTTTAGTGCTGCATTTTGGAGTTCACATTTCCTTAAATAAGATATGGCTGCCCTTTATATTACCACTCCGGGATGTGGGACCCAGCTCTTAAGAAAGAGAAAAGCAAATACAATATCCTCAAAAATATTTAAGTGAACAGAGTGTCTGTTGGTGGATTGATTATTCTCTGTGGGGATAAATCTATTGGCAGCCACCAGAATAGGGGTATAAAAATGACCTTGGGCAGCTGCTGCCATTTGTTTCAGTGGGAAAATGAGGGTTTTGTCTCTCCCCAGGGATTAATACTGTGATGTTCCGAGCACCACCAGGGCTCTGTTTCTGAAGGGTTACACTGGAGAGGTGGAATGCTTTGTGGTTTATGACAAGATCACAGCAGAATATTTTGTGCATGCTGTGATTTGTATCACCCATTTGTGCACAGGCCATAAAAGTGCACTTTTTTATCAGGAACATTTGTGAATATATAACAGCACTGAAGACATATGGCCACTAAATAATTCACAGTTATCTATCTTCTCAGCAGATTCCTTATACACCTACCATGTTTTAATGTCTAGTTTGCTCAGAAACAATATTCTTTATGACCCTTCCAATATAAAAATGTTTACTGACTGGCAGCAACATATGGATACCATGGGATTAGATTGCAAGGAAAGGGAAAGCTCTCTGTTTTCTCTACCTCTTCCCCTTTTCACTTTTCCTCTCAACTCATCCAATTGGCACCCAATCTTATGGGAAATAATACTTCTCCCCAAAGTGAGTGGGAAATTCTGACTGGGCTGTAAAGGTGGAAGTCACTGACTAACTTGCCTCCTCTTCTCTTTTCAGTTCCATATCCATTTACAGCCCCAAGGAGAACCCAAATGCATTTGACACAGCGGCATTCTTCCAGTCTGTGGGGAATTTCCTGGGGATCTTCACCGGCTCATTTGCAATGGGGTCTGCGTATGCTGTTGTCACAGCACTGATATCCTTTGTGTGTGTGGAGAGCTGGGGACTGCTCAGAGAAGTCAGTGTCCACAGAATGTTTCTGATGATAAAAAACCTCCAGGGTGGTAAATGGCAAGGGATTCTGGTTCAAATTTGATGCACATTAAGAAGCCATCCTCATTTTGAGTGACCCTAGGAAGCAGAGATTGATACCAGGGCCAGAAAGAATCAGATTCTTTTTTATCCAAGGTCAGTTCTAACCCCGTTGGTAGTGTCTGATCTTAGAATATGGAAACCTCTTAAATAATTGCCACTTAGAAAAAGGAGTGGGCAGGGAACATCAGGATTTCCTATACTAGGGTCAAGAGGAAGAAATGAAGATCCAAGAACAAGATAAGATTGTGTGGGGGTATTAAGCTGAGTATACTCAGCCTCATTTTTAAGCTATGTCAACCACTAAATCACAAAGAAGGAAGCCAAAGATCGCTGTGGGCTTGAAAGACATTGACAGCTACTTTGTAGAAGGGAACCTGAAAGCAATGCAGGGATGACATGTTTTCTGTAGCTGGATAACAGTCTCATTGTGTTTCTTCTTTTTTGTTAAGGAGTTGGGAGGTTGAGTTGAGTTCCTACAGGATTTGATCAGAGAAAGAGGCTGGTCTAGTGGACTAGTCATTTCCAATATTTAGATGGGGCAAAAGTAAGTCAGAATTGGGGAGGAAAGCCAGAGGGCCAGTCTTAAGTGTAGGGGCTTAGTGGAAGCCAGAGCAAAGATGCAAAGCAAAGGATGAAGGACCAAAGACCTCAGGGAAAATAAGAGGAAGGAGTCTGCCTGGCCCATGGCAAAGAAAGCAAAATGGCGGGGACTTTTTCCATGAGTATTGGCCCAGAGATTCACTATGCAGCTGCTAAAGGTTCAATTTCACTAAAAGTATCTACACAGAGTTAGAAGATAAGTAAAACATAGTCTCTGCCCTCAGTGAATGAGAAACTTGAAGACATCAGCCCTATAGTAAGAGCTAGATAGAAAACTAGTGCCAGAGCTCACATAAATTATTAGGACTATAAAAATTCAGAGATGAAGCCAGGTGTAGTGACATGCTCCCGTAATCCCCTAACTTGCCTGAAAGTCTGAGACAAAGGGTTTGCAAGTTCAAGACCTGTCTCAAAACAAATAAATAAATAAAATAATATTTTAAGACTGAGAAGGGATGTAACTCAGTGCAAAGGCCTGGGTTCAATCTTTGCTACTACTACTACTGCTGCTACTACTACTACTACTACTACTACTACTAATACTAATACTAATAATAATAATAATAATTGCATAAGAACCAGAGCTGAGGAAGCCATCATTATTGGGAATATAAAAATTGAGTCATTGTGTCTAGAAAAGACCAACAGACCCTAGGCAACTATAGTATTCTGTAAATAATTTGACAAGCAGTATTTATATGCAGAGTGCTATCCTTTAAAGGGTAGAGGTGGGACTGACTGATGTAACATGCAGCAGAAGTGCCTGAGAAGACCAGTGGGCTCCAACTGGTGAGAAATGGAGGAGGTACAGTGGATAGAGTCAACTCATGGAGTCCCTCTGGGTGTTTTCTTCAGAGTCTGAGCTTCTTTCTATAGTCCCCATTTAACTGCTGAAGGGCTCTGCTCAGAAAAGGGATACCCTGACAGTCATGTGTTTAAAACATCTGAGGATCTGGTGCATAGGGCGTGTCAGAGGAAGGAGGTTAGAATTGAGGGAAACTGTAATGATGAACTGTGGAGGGAGGATCAGGAAGGAGACCAGTGTCTAACTGTTTATTAATGATAAAGAGGAGAAGTCAAAGTTCACTCCAGAGTTTTGTCCTAGAACCCTTACAGAATGACACCTCCATTGGCAGAGATACAATAAGTCAGAAAATGTACAGCTGGCTTCCAACACCAAAAATTGACATTACATAGGATGTATGATACACCAGGCTCCCCTATTACTTATTTCACATGTAGTGCCTCATCTAACCTTCACAGAGTTCAAATACTACTTTTATTGGACCCTGAAGCTTAGAAAGGGTATTATTGCCAAGGTCATTCAAGCAGTAAGTGAACCCAGAGAGTAAGAATCAAGAGCAGCTCGTGCTCCTAATCACTACTCCCTACTCCCTACTACCTCTTACTCATTACATAGCATTGTGGTGGAGGTCATGTGTTATTTAGAATATCACAAGTAACAGTGATAATAATAGGAACATTCAGTGAATGTTTAGTATGTGCCAGGGCTTTTATGTGCACCTCTGCACTTGAATTAACCCTGTAAGACAGGTTGTTATTATCTTCACTTTATACACGTAGAAACTGAGGCTTAAGAAGATTAAATAGCTCACTCTGGGTCACATATCTGTCATAATAAACAAGATAATAATATCATCTAACATTTCTATAACTTTGCCATGTATCAGCCATTGCTATAATCATTTTGCATTTGTAGTCATTGTCTCAGACAGTTTCTACAAGAACACAACAAGGTAGGTACGGTTATTATCCTAATTTTACAGGTGAAGAAGCTGGAGCGATTAAAGTTTAAACATTTGACTAAGGTCATACAGTTAAAGACATTCATGCCTACTACTGCAAACTAGGCTGTTCACTACCATAGAGTGCAGTAGATAGAGAAGTTGAGAATGGAACTCTTCTCTACCTAGTGTGAGGAGAAGGTGTTGACACAGAAGTAAACAGGCTGAGAAGGAAAGGAAAACATTCCTAGAAATGTGAAGTGGGCCAGGAGATTGGATTAGGTCTGAAAGACAGGATATAAGGACCTAAGAGTTGAGGGTAGGGAGAGATCTCTTAGTCAGTCACATGACCAATCATGTGGCACTTGGAGTCTTGTAACTGACTCTGTGAATAAGCTGTGAAGAAGGCAAGCACATACTGCTGTCCCCTCTACCTTCATTCCCTCCATGTCTCCCCCATGCTGAGGTGGTCTCCTCAGGTTCTGACTCTAAGCTCTGGACTTGGGAGTTGACTGAGAACTTTTCTGTAGGAGAATGCTCTATAGCCCTTTGATATTCTGTTGCTTGCACTGGCCTGGACTTTCTCCTTAAAACAGCCTAGAAGAGCGAATTCAGAAGAACAAACTCTGTGAAACAAAGGCTTCCCTCAAAGTATCAAGAGAGGATAATGGGAAGGGGCTAAAAGCAGAACCAGCCCATTTTTCACTCCAGTTAGAGAACTGCTTGCAGATACTTAGAGATTCTATTTCCAGTAAAGATGTTTTACCAAAAACATCCATTTAAGCCACTGACAGAAAAGTTGGATACCACTTGTTGCATGGTAGGCACTGTTCAGTGTGTTTAACACATATCAACTGGCTTATAATACTGGTGATAAAGATTTTACCATTATCCCCATTTCCAACAGGAAATCAGAACCATGGAGGCCAAGACACATGTCCAAGTGGCTGTAGTGAATCTGAAGCTCAGTGGAGTTAGCATCCAGAGGCCATGCCTCAGTGATGTTTCTGACTCTAGGCATCTGTGCTTCCTAAAACTTTACATGACATGTTTAACTCACTTCATCTCATTTTACTCTCCAGACTGTGGAGCAGGCATTATTTTCATCGCCAATTCACCTGGAAAGGGTAATAATACTGATCAGGAGTCACACAGCCAATGACTGGCCAAGCCAAGAATTAGATACAGATATTCCACGTTGGAAGTCATGTTTTTGCTTCCTTTACCTGCTGGAAACATCTTTTTATGTGAAATCTGCTATAAATTCTGTTCTAAAAGCATAAAAATGCAACTCACGTCTCCTTGTTCAGGGCATTTTATGCCTACTATGGACAAAATAACATATAACCCTTTCCCATCAATCATATACGCCTTTCTTTGTCCAACTTGGGTTACTACCCCTTTGTTGTATTTGCAATTTACAGATTATTGTTCAAGTGTCATCCTTGCCAAAATGAACCATTACCTGTCTGAGGGCATCTTACCTGACCTAGAAATAATAAAACTCTCCTCCTACACCCTACTTATGTCAAGAGGGAATGGGAACCTTCTTCTCCTGACCCTATTTCTATCCCTAAGTGCAGCCTGCGCACAGATTGCATTCACCTCACTCCACCCCACCCCAGTGAGCAGCACTGTCTTCCACACTGACACATGTCGAGCATCTGATTCCAACCATGTTCTGCTTAGCTTGGTTTTCCTAAATCTGCTACAGTTCTCCTGGGAGCACATGTGCACGGCTGAGGCCAAATTCAAGAGGTTTTGTACCACAGTTCTACACTTTTAGTAGATACCTTTAAAAATAATCTGAATAGAGGTTAGAATTTTTATGGGCACATTCATCCCTCAGTGAAGTAAAGAACTCATGGTGGTCTTTCTAACAGGGCCTGTGTCAAATGACTCAGTCAGGGCTGAGAATCATCTTTAACTCAAAGGTGTTATCATCAGATCAGATTACCTCAGTCAACAAGGAGATTTCGCCTTGTTTCCCTTAACACGTCTTTATCACTTGACCAAATTCACCAAGCTGTGTGAGTTCCCAATGCTGGAAACAGGCTTGTTTTTCCTCCTTTCTTGGAGTGCATTCCTGTCTGCTGAGGCTGCCGGCCTAACAGGTCAGTACTTCAGGTTTTATTGAGAACTAGGTGTGTGAATCTGTGTGTCCATCTCTGGGTGTGTGTGCCCCTCCCTGACTCGGCAGGAGCGGAAATGAAATCTCTCTTGAATAGTGAATGTGAATGTTTGTATCAGTCAGGCCTTCCCTGGGCATCCTGTGGGAAAATAATAATAACTCATCCATTTTACAAAATAACAGACATCTCCAGGATGCTCTTTTATCCTTGCGGGACAGGAGGGGATGTTGTAATGACTGATTTATTGTGGCAACAGATGACATAATAAGTCTCCATTCTGTGTGAAAGACACACACACATTCTGTATGGGGAAAGGCAGTGGCTGTCTAGCCATGAGATCTAGAGTAGGTGGCCTCTCCAGGTGTGAGCATCTCTGATACATTAGTGTTAAGGACTGGTGTGATTGCACCTTGACCAGTCAGAAAACAAAGCAAACCTGTGTGCTCTACATTTCAGAGTCTCTTACACAAAAAGTCTACACAAAGACCTCTGAGCTCCTCTGAGATCCCAGGGATCATGGATCCTGTGATCTGATTCCATAATTAGATTACCTTTTTGTAATAGTGAAAGTTTGTGCTTGGGTAGCAACAGTTGCATGCTTTTCCACATAGAAGCATTACTGGGGCTCCCTGCAAATGTCAAAGCTATTTCTGTCCTAAAGCCCAATTCCCTGCTTCTTCCAGGCTTCAATCCTGGCAGCCTTTCTGCCCAATAAATCTGAGCTGACATTCAAGTGGTGAGAATCTCCACTAAGTGTTAATCTGTAACAAGGTATATCTCCCTCGGTATTTGAATTTTAAGACGTTATGCTTAAGTCCAAATAACAAACAGTGATTAAAATTTACATATATTTGAGGATGTATCATGAACAACATATTGGCCATCTGCCTCACATAGATGATCTCATTAACTTATGCAAAGACTCTAAGTAAGAGTCCCCTGTTTATATAGACAACAGTGAGTGGGATTTAAAACTCCATTTGAGAAGTATCAGGTCAACCTCCATGAGTAGGAAGATGGCTGAAGTCCCAGGGGCCTCCTTGGTCTCCTTGGGCTAGTTAGTGCTCTCCTATGAATAATAGCAGGGAAAAGCATTTTGGTGGTGATAACCTATGGCTCTACTCAGCTGATCCAACTGACTGAAGAGTGCAAGAGGCCACACTGTTCCCACAGGCTTCAAGGGTGTCTGTACAGACTGGAAAGTAGTTGCCACTTCTAATAACACTGTAATGAAGACTACATGACCAGATTCCACCCCATGGGACCCTTACATCCAAATTATCTCAACACAAATTCTGTTGTGTTAATGTATTGGTGTAGGATTAAGGAGGTTGCTGAAGAGTATGTGCATTCCAGAAAAAAGTGTTATCATAGCCCTTAAATGAAATAATGTGTGAAAATCTTATATATCATAGACATTTAAATTTTATTCTCATTGTCCATATTCTGACTTATTCAGTACTCAACTTGCTGTAAAACCATCTAAGTATCATTAGAGTAAATTTTGACCTTGCAGAAAGATGAAGTAATATCTTAATTCACCTAATATTTTTAATTTTATCATTGAGGTTATAATAAATACGCATGCTCTCTCTCACACACACTTGCTTGAGAATTATAAATTTCTGTGTATGAAAATTATCTTTCTATTTCCAAGTCCATTTCAATAAGATCTTGTTTTGTTAGTTGCTTTAAAATTTACAATCCATAGGAAACTATATAAATTGCTAGTTTATCATCACCTTGCTCATTTAGTACCCTTCAAACTGGTATGCTCCCTGGATGTTATGCACACAATTTAAGGAGCCAAATATAAGATGGATGAATGCAAGCAAGTGCCTTGTTGCAGGATAACCCAAATGACCATAGCTTTGCCCAGGGACAGACTTGCTTCTGAGCAGTACTCCCAATTTAGGCAGTATGCCTAATAACCGCTTGATACAAACCAAACTCTAGGTATAAGCATTTTTTTATCGCCAGAGACAAGACTGCCTTGTCCAAATTACACACATGTATGTTTATTACTTAATCCTTGTCTATTTCCAAATTGGATTTGTGGCAACTCATAATATGAGCCATGCATATCATGTGGGACCTGTTAGTTGAGGATAAACACTCATGTGTTTTGGGACAGAGATTTCCTACAAAATTAGGCAGCTGTTGGTTGCTGTAGTTTGGCAATAAACATAACTCTGTGCTTTCTGGAAACCAAAGTCAAAAGAGAAACACGATGAGTTATATAAAAATAAAAACAATATTATAAAAGGGAAAAATACTTAAAATGAGCATTGTTTTACTGGTACTAAAATTTTAGCAGAATTTATCATGTGCATTCTTATATATAAGGGCCACTGAACATCAGAATGAAAAACAAACTTAATTTTAGAGAAAATGAAAATCCATTGTTCAATTGGTCATTCATTGTATTGACCTTCAAAGAAATCTTAGGGTGCAGTGTCAAATATAACTCTCTAAGCTTATCCCAGTGTAATGTTGAAATCCTTTTAGTTCTAGTCTGCATGTAAACTAATACGATGAAAAGCTAAAATGCATAAATTTTTTTAAAAAATGCTTAACAAATGAATATACAACAATAAATACAGCAAACCAGATGAAATGAATGGTTAGAGAGGTAATCAGCAATCCCTACTCCTTGCTTGTATAAACTCACTGCCAGCTCATTCTGCAGGCCCCAGCATTCTGTCAATTTGCAGTGGATTCTCAGCAGAATTCTCCAGGAAGTGATATTTCAAAAGTGGATCCTCAAAAACATCCACTACAAGAGCAGTCTCCTAAGCCTGCTACCCTTACTCATCCTTTTATAGATTCCATGAACTGGGCTCTTCAACATTTCTTTTAAGAAAAGGGTTTATTTCTACTGCCTTAAATAAAGTTTGTTTTGTAATATACAATATATATTTTCATACTCCTTTAACACATTTTTATTTTAGAAAATATACATTTTCAGAAGGAAATACAATTAGAATCACTTATAGTCTTACTGACTTTATTAATAACTATTGTTAATACTTGGTTGTATCCATCTAATTATGTATTACATGTATTGATATATACATACACAGATAAATGCATACACTTAAATATATACATGCTTACGCATATATGTAATTGTACTTTTCTAATTTTTAAGTAACTTGGATTCTGTAGCTCAAAAATTTATAGCAAATATTTTTCATGACATTCAGTTACTACATCATAGGAAACTTTTGATTGTTTATGATTTTTAATATTATTTAAAGGATAATTGTTGTAGCTAGGTGTGAGAATTGTTATTTATATAACTGCCTAAAAAGAAAATATAGGCTATATAGGTGAATAGTAAGGCTACAATTTTAAGGTTTTGGAGAGATTTGTCCAGATTGTTTTCTGGAAGATTAAAGTTCTTCTCTCCTCCCACCAGTACTGTAAACAACAGCTCATTCATTCACATCTTCACCACTACCCTAAACAGTGTTAGTCGCTGCTAATTAGATAAACAAGTTCTATTTCATTCTGGCTTATATTTATTGTACTTTTGCCAAAGAGAAGCACTTTAATTTCATATCATTATTTGTAAATATTTCTTCTTTGGTCCATCACCTGTTTGTGCCCTTTGTCTTTTCTTCTTCCTCTTATTCTCCTCCTCCTTCTTATTCACCATTAAAATTCTTGCCTTTGTAATGTTGTATTTTAGTTGCTATTTTTCTATTAAGAAAATTAACCTCATGGCTGTTTTGTAAACTATAAATATTCTCCAGTCTATACTTGTATCTTTTAAAATATGTTACTTGGTGGGGTGGGTTAGGGATCATGACAAGTAAAAAACCTTTTCAAGTATTATGTGGTTAACTTTTCTCCTAGAAAATTCAAGTGTTTTTAAAAAATAATATATACTTCCTTTAATAATGGTCTAATTTTAATTTTCCACCAGAATCCAATTGGAATTTGTTTTGATATGGGTGTGGGGTATAGTGGGGATTTGATTTTCTTCCTAGAAGGAAAGCCATTTGTTCTAACAATCATCTACCCTTATCTGTGAATTTAAAATGTCTAGAAGTATATGTATATGCATGTTCTGGGCTTTCTATTGTTCCACTGAGCTTTTGATCTTCATTGTTTTAATTATTTCAGCTTCATAGTTCATTTTAATATCTAGTAGTTCGTTCTCTCACACCCCTCTGCATTTTCAAAAGCTTCTATGCTGTATTCACTTATTTATTATTCCAGATGGACTTGAAAATAAATTTGCTAATAACTTTTCCAAACATAAAATCACTTAGGGATTATGATTAAGGGTGCATTAAATTTTTAGGTTAATTTGAGGAAAAGTGATATTTTTATAACTCTGAGTCTCCTGAACTAGGAATGTTATGTCTCTCCATTTATTTGAGTCATATTTTATGACTCTCAGCAAATTTTTATAGTTGTGTTCACACTAGACCTACAAATTTCTTAAGGATCTTTTTAACCACTTTACATTTGGGAAATAATGAGTAAGAAATTCTTCCATTATAGTTTCTAACTATTTATTGTTTGTATGCATGCGTCTGGGTTTCACCAGCCTATTTAGTTTGCCCTCAGTAGTTGTTAAATACAGAACTAGTACTGATGTGTACAACTTGGATTGATAGGTAGAAGTTAAAATAGACCATTAAGTCTGTGAGGGCTTTATCATGCCAATAACATGACTGAAGCATCCTAGGCACTCAAAAAATATCTTTTAAGCAACTAAATGAATTATTTTATCTCAACAAAAGGAAAAACTTCCCAAATCTGAACAGCATAGTAAGCTGTAAGGTACTAAGCTCTGTAAGGTAGAAACTGATTTATAAGACAGGAGTAAGTATTGCTGTGCCTGATGGTGTCCCTGGAGTTTCTTTGTAGTGGATGGTCAGGAAATTCCACAGCAGACCCATACATCGACTAAATGATGTGTCGTATATTACATTAATGTTTAACTCTACTTTTTTAGGCATTAAATT